TACTGACTTCTGTTACTGTGGGATTTACTACAGGGGACCAAATGATACATTCAATCATATTATCAAGGAACAGTAGTAGCATTTTCTTAACTTAGCAAAGTATCACAGTTCTATTCCCTCATCACTAATTTCAGGTTCAACAATTCCGTATTACCTCGTTTCCTGTTCTTTTATCGCAGTTCACCATTTGTTTTTTCTGCTTTCACTCCAATCTTATCTTCAACTCTTCTGATCTCATCCCTGCCTTTTATACTTCAAATAGCTCTATCTCCTCTGTAATTCAGACTATCCCTGCCCAAATTCAATTTGTTTGTTGAATGTCAATGGGGTCTTGGCATCTTCATCAAAATGACTACTGTTAAGAGGCTACTTACAAAAAAACCTGGCCACAAGAGTAAGGAGTCTTTTCTTTTTCTTTTTCTTTTTTTTTTTTTTTTTGAGACGGAGTCTCATTCTGTCACCAGGCTGAAGTGCAGTGGCACCATCTCAGCTCAGCTCACTGCAACCTCCGCCTCCCGGGCTCAAACAATCCTCCTGCCTCAGCCTCCTGAGTAGCTGGGACTACAGGCACGCTCCACCACGCTCGGCTAATTATTTGTACTTTTAGTAGAGACGGGGTTTCACCATGCTGACCAGAATGATCTCGATCTCTTGACCTTGTGATCCGCCCGCCTCGGCCTCCCAAAGTGCTGGGATTACAGGTGTGAGCCACCAAGCCCGGCCTCTTTTTTTTTTTTTTTTTTTTCTAAAAAAAAAAAAAAAAAAAAAAAAAAAAAAAGAAAAATGTATTCTAATGGTAACAACTTTTTGGGGAAATAGCATCACAATATAATTAATCACCTAGTACATTATTTTGCATATTGCTATATAAGCATCTTATTTTTTTAGTTGATGTAAGCACTTTCTTCCCCAACTTTATTAACAATGCAACTTAAAATGTATTTTAGAAAGCCAGTTTAACATTTCCTTCACGTGAGAGCTGATATATACTATCAGAACAGAATGTGATATAATCATGCAGTTATTTATGTAAATTGAGTTTTTCATTTCCAGTAACATATTACCACTATATTTCAAGTGTCCTTAACACAACCTTCCCCTAAATTATGAGTGATTTTAAGTAGCCCATTGATACACAGCTTTATGAGAATAAGCTCTACAAATGTATTTTCCTAGTAAAAGAACAAGTTTTCATTGTAATTCTCCCCTTCCTTAACTTATTTTTGATTTTTATTATCCCCTTACTTTTAAAAAAGAAAAAAAATACAACAAAGAAAATGCTTTACCAAAATCTTGCATAATCATGGTATGGGCCATTCTAGAGTCTGGCGTGTGCAATCCAAGACTTCCACCACCTGAATCCATACTTAGCAAAGTTCATTCACCAATATCTGCAAAAGAAATGGCTTTTAAAATAGTTTTAATATGTTTAGCCCAAAGTTAGTTGTTTTGAGAAAAAAAAAATGCAACTGACAATATGCCTTTCAACCAAGTGTGGAAAGCTCATTACAAAAGAAAGCAAAACAAAGAAAAATCATGGTTAGATGCTTTATGTGACAACTATAAATAAAAGAAGTGCCAAGTGGAAGTAAACCAAAAAATAATGGAGACGAAGGCACAGTCAAGCTGATGAGCCATAGGGAAGTGGTAGAAGAAAGCAAAACAACAAAACTGCAGTGCTAAAGTTCCAGTTAAAACATAGGTTATAAAAGAAGAACGAGATGACAACAAACAATAGTTAGGATATTTATACATTACTAGAGGACTCAGATGTCTAGTATTAGTGAATTTCATCCACTGGCTCTCATCCATTTCTTCCAGACCCAGATCAGCCCTGCAGCGGAGCTCTGCAGATAAACTTGCATTCACCTCTGGCTCCCAGGGTTCTACTTATAATGTAAAATGTTCTATCCCAGTTTCCCCGGAGTTCTTTGAACCAGTAAGGACTTCTGGCCTCACTCTACTACATTTTCTTGTCTCAGTTTTGAGGACTCATGAAACATGACTGCTTCCTAAATATGGTAAAAATAAGATCAATCACATATAAACATTTAGCAAATTACTTATCATATCATTTACTTGTAATTGTACAACTGATTTTTTATTAGTGATTAATAAAATTATGCTAGCTTCATGGTGGTTTTGAAAACAAGGGCTTAATCTATTTCATTTCAAATGACTTATCCTATATTTAAGATTATTTGATAGTATGGAACATAAAGTCAGATGCTGTCACTCAATATATTTCTTAGAAATATATATGTGCATTTTCTCTTCAAACATAAGATTCTAAGTAAATCAACAAAAACCTGTCTGTTTTATAAGGCATCTATCTCTTTTTCACGTAGGAGTGTTTAATAAATTGTACCGTATTGGACAACAGATAAAGCTGCATCCTTAATGAAAGTTTTAGAAAGGTGCCATGTAATACAACTTAATATATTCTTAAATAAATGGGATGGCTAAATTGGTATTCAAGGGGCAGGAGAGTCTCACAGAGTAACCCCTATCAATATTTCAGGTGTATACATAAATATGCTACAGAAGGTGACATTTCTATATATCAAACGATTCAGACAGAATTACTTTATGTACGAGCAAAACTTCACATTTTTAGAAAATTTTAGTTGTGTTTTATGTTTTTTCAAATGCCACATTGTTTTCTGCTTTGCTGTTATGCAAAATGAGGTCCAGAGGCCAAGACAGTTCACAATAAACTACCTGTGTGTTAACAAAATAAATCTGAAAGGGATTTGTTCTTAACATTTAAAACTGTGTACTATTCGGATTTTAATTAGAGCAATTACTTTCTTTACCACATAACTAATAGAACAACTACAAATGTCTTAAAATGTTTTTAAAAACTTAATTTTATTAAACTGTTAAATAAGATAAAACAGTAAGTAATTGGTTAATCACCTTTATATGAGTGTCTCGAAGAAATTGTAGATTTTCTTACATAAAGTAAAATCTGCAGTAATTTCTTTTTATTTTTCCTTCTGTGCTATGTTATTTTCTTTGGGAAAACGCTCTCTTTACCTATTATAAAAATACATTCAAAATCAGATACTTTAAAACATTTTAAACTAAGTTTCTTACACAACTTAATATTTTTCTTTACACTGAACTTGCATAGCGAGGCTGGGAAGGGTTCATATGCTCAAATCTGTAGTAATCTTAAAAGCAACCAAATGGATTCCAACAAAAACAACTACTGACTACATTAGCAATGTTTTTATACTTAGAATGCTACCACTTGATTAAACCAAAATCTTCTCTAAAGCACATCTTAAAAATCACAAACAACACCTTATTTTAGAAAGTGAAAGAGAACCAAGGGCAAGCTTTATCCTTGCCAAATCCATACTGAAAAGTCTGCACTAGCACTCAATGAAGTGTAAAAATTACAACACATAGTGCAACTATTATAAAAGTATTACACTGTGTGAATACCAAATAAATAAACTGGAGTATCTTTCCCCACATAGGAAGTTTCAATAAAATCAATAATAAATGAGGTATGAAAACAGCAGTGTGTTAAGTATTTAATAACCATTGGAGATAGCTAGGCTTCTTGGTCTTCTCCAGAGTGTATCTCACATCCTTACTGAATGGAGATAACCCACCAAGTACGTTTCAAGTAAACATCTTTCCATTAATGCATGGGGAGCAGAAATCACAAAAAGAAAATCTGTCTCTTCTAACATAGCTCATTCAGGACCTAGCTTCTCAGTGATGTCAATAGGGTGACGGATAGATGAGAAATGGTAAGGCGGCAGAACAAGAGAATGCGAAAGTAGTATTTGCAGAGATGGGAGACAAAGGAGCCCTGGCAAGTAGCAGTATTGCAGCTTTGGACGCAGCCCTCTTCCCGCATAAGTCTCCTTTTCCCACGACCATGCCAAGTTTTAATCGTTTCGAGCAGAATGCACACACGTGCCCTCTGAGGTATTACCCATCTGACTAGATCTCAAACCTAAGAGAACCTTCGCAGTAGAAAGGAAGAGACCGATGAGACAAGAATACCCTTTCCCCTCCTCCCTCCTCTCACTTGGTGCAGCGGTCGCCACCGCTGCTACCCACGCCGTGCTTCCCAGCCCCTCAGCCTCCTCCAGCTTCCTCTGCCCCGCTACGTGGGAGACGGTTGGGAACCAAAATGGTGGTGTTTTAGTGTAGGCGACAGTTGTCGCACACGCCTCCCCCCTCCCCCCAACTCCCAGGCTCTGACGGCTCCCAGTCCCCTAAAATGCCGATTCGGTGCCACTTCCTCGCACACGCCGCCATCCCTCGCGCATTCCAAAGGTTACTATTAGCTCGGTCAGGGGGCGGGGGCGAGGCGACGGGGGCGCCAGTGAAAGGAATATCGGGTGGAGGGATAGCTGAGAGAAAATGCCAGGGGGACGCTGCATTCTTCACTTCACCGTTTTGTTTTCCGCCATTTTCCCGTCACCCTAAACCACCGACGGTCTCAACGACGGCTCTAGCTCCCTGGGGCTCTGGCCTAGGGAAAGAAGAGGTTGGCTAAGGGGGAAAACCCTTACTTTCCTCAATTCCTCCAGCCCCCGGCAACGGCTGAAGAGGAAAACTCCGCCCGAGGCGGGAGGAAAGCTCAGGGACTGGACGCCACTTCCATTGTTCCCTTCGCCCTACGCTACACGCTGGGTGTGAGCCTCTCCTCCCTTCAGACAAGAGACACTGAACACGGTGGATCCACGTCCCTCTAGTTTCTCCTCAGGAGTCTCCTTACCTGCTCCTGCTGCTGCAGCTGCAGCTGCCGCTGCCGCCGCCGCTGCCGCCGCCTCCGTGCCGCCAGTCGGACTGTGACCGCGCTCTGGATGGCTGCGGGGGGCGGCAGCTGTGGATCCCTTAAGGTCCTCACATTCGGGTTTCCGAGGTTCCGCAGCCAGAGCCAATCACAATCTACTCTGCGTCTGGGAGGCGCGCCGCCTAGTTCTCCTTTATATTGCTGCTGACATGCTGAGGTTGCATTACGTCACGCTACCCTTGCTGCAGGGTAGGGGGCCAAAGGGGGGTCTCGCGCACGCGCGCGCGCGGGAGATCGAGGCGCCCGCGCTAGGTTAGTGCGAGACCCCGCCGGCTTGAGGCGGGGGCTGAGCGCGGGCCAAGTCCAAGTGCGCAAGCCCAGATCTTGGCGCGCCCCTGAGGAGTTTCTGTGGGAAGATTTTCTGTTTTCCAGGTTTCCCAAGGGAAACGAAGAAAGAGAGTGGGAGAATCGATGACTGGACCTCTAATAGATGTTGGACGACTTAAAAAAAAAAAAAAAAAGTATCGGCCCTACCCTCGAGGATTTGACAAATTAAGCTGGCCAGAGTGATAAGAGGTATGCCTCTCCCCAATAAAACCTGTGTGTGTGTATTGCAGTTTCCCTTCCTCCCTCCCTTCATTTCTTTTCTATTTTGTAATGGTAGACAATTCGATGAAGAAAGTAAAGGAGAATGAAGAAAGGTATAGAAAGGAAAAGATGAACAAGGGACCTCAATGAAGTGGACACTAAATATCTCATGAATGTGTCACTTTCAGCTTCTGTCTGCAAAAAGTGGGAGGACAGGGAGAAATTCATTGGGTGAGGGGTGGGGAAAAGAGTGATGAGATGTGATGAAAGGTAGGTGGGGACTAGATTTCGTAAGCAAAGGGTCTTAGGTTTTGCGATTTTAGCTTTAATTCTATAAGCATTTGGAATCAATAGCAGTGTTTAAGCAGGGAAAGGATAGGATCTTAAAGAAAGTAACTGTCTTTGCAAATCATTTGATTATTTACAAATAAAACATATTATTATTCTAGATTCTAGATACATTCTTCAGGTCTCTATAACCTGATATACCACTAAAAGTTTTGATAAAATTATAGAAGATGTGAAAGTCCTAGCACAGTACCTGGCTCATAGTAGACCAGGAGTCGGCAAACTTTCTCTATAAAGGGCCAGATAGTAAATATTTTATTTTTGTAAATAAATAGTAGTAAGCAAAATATTTTTTGAGGGCTATAGCATCTCTGTCACAACTACTCTGCTCTGCCATTGTAGCCCCAAAGTGGCCATAGACACGTTCAGCAGAATGAGGTGATGTAATTTCCAAGCTTGAAAAGGGTGAAATTCAGTTATTACTAAAACGTGAAGTGTGATAGATAGATAGATAGATAAGAGGTTGGTAAATTACCTTCCAGTGTGAGGTTCAAAGTTTCTCTGCAAGAAATGCAATTTCTGCAGAACCCATACACAGTGGGCAAAGAGAAGGAGCATGCTCGTGAGCACGCATTTGGTGTGTGTGTGTGTGTGCATGTGTAATGATGGTAAAATATTTGTTTTCCTTACTCTTGAGTTCCAGGGAGAGATAAGTGAGCATGGCTGTGTTCCAGTACAACTTTATTTATGAATACTGACGTTTGAATTTTATTTCATCTTAATGCGTAGTGAAAAATTATTATTCTTTGATTTTTTTCAACTATTAAAAATGTAAAAATCACTCTGAGTCATAGGCCATAGAATAACAGGCAGCAGTCCAGATTTGGCTTGTGGGTCATAGTTTGCCTCCCTCTGTAGGTTTCATTTACTTAAGCTTTTATTTTCCATTCTAGAAGAAGAAAGATATTTTTATGAGTATGTCCTCATACATGACATTTTTCTATATTGGATAGCCTGGCAAATACTACTTGTAGTCTTGTCCCAGTGGTAATTTCAACAGGACACTCAAAGAAGAAAGCTGAGAAAGATGTGGGGTTTTTATATCAATCACCTTTGTGAATGGTACACTGTGGGAGATAATTTTTAAAACCTGAAGGCCATCCTTGCTCTTCCCTCTTTCTCCAAACATCTAGTCAATGAAAATATCCTGAGAATTCTTCCACCTTAATATCCATGAAATTAATCCCCTTTTTACCTAACATCATTACCTTGTTCAGGTTCACATGCCTTCTTAACTGGATTATTGCAACACCTTGCTAACTAGTTCCTCTGTGTCCATTTACTCGCCAGATTCTCAAATCAAAAGTGACAAAATCAGAAAAATATATCACATTGATTCTCCCCATTCCATTTTCACTTCAGTTGAGGCCCTCACCAATGGGACAGTAGTAATAGTCTTCTGACTTATTTCTCTGATCCACTTGATATCTTTTACAGTGTAGAGTCTACATCATCACTGAATTCACTTGCAAACAAAACAAACAAAACTGATTATCTTACTCCCCTGCTTAAACATTACTATCAATTTCCACTAAAAGTCAAGGATAACACCCAGACGAGTACAGAAAGAGAATTATGGGAATCCCAGCTGGGGAACAATGGGGAGACCATCCAACATATGTCCTTTAGATAGTTGGCCAATACTTATTTAAAGGAAGAAACTGACTAATATATGGGGAAAAAAAAAAAAAACTGTTAGATCTGGCTGTTTATGCTATTTTGGAAAATAGTATTGTTTTATATGCATGCATTAGCATTTTTGAAGTTTCATGTTAGTCTCAAGACCAATAATATTAATTAGGTGCTATAAACTTTGTAATTTGTAGCTTCTTTGTTATGTAGGTGGCTCACTTCCCTCCCTCTACTAGCCTTGGTAATCCTGGCCAACTAATAGTGTTTTGCTATGGTACATTTAAAAATTGCTGTCCGTTCTGCCTCTGGACTCACAATTTGTTGTCAACTATATTATCTTCAATCTTAACCTCATCTAGGAAAACTCATACCCTGCTTTCACTGTAACCTGGGCAACTCCCAAGGAGATAATCTAAAGTAAATTAACATGAACATAATCTGGGTTATCTAGAAAACCTCCTTATAACTAAATACTGTCATACATTATCAACACTCACATTTGTATTTGTATTTACAGCACATTAACACCAGATAGTAATATTTTAATTGTTTTGAGGCGATTTGAAGTGAAGGCATCATACTTTGTTTTTAAATTATCTGGTTCTATCAGGTTCACTATACATAATACAATTTCTTGGTAGTTAGAATAGAGTGGTGGGGGAAGTGAGTCAGCCCATAGTGTACAATAAGGCAAACCACATTCAATATGCCAGTGCAGAGTCATATTCATGTTGTGAACTGCAACTTAATTTCAGCAAAACAATATAATTCATAACATTAAATTAATGCTGTTAAATTATTGATTTTGTTGTTTATTGTGTGGTTTTATAATTATATAAGCATCATAAGCTCAAAGCATTCATTTTTTTCTATTTTATTTTAAAATTTCAACTTTTATTTTATAAATTCAGGGGTTACATGTGGAGACTTATTACATGGGTATATTGCGTGATGCTGAAGTTTGGTGTATAAATGATCCCATCACTCAGGTAGTGAACATAGTACCCAACAGGTAGTTTTTTAGCACTTGCCCACCCTCCTTCTCTCCCCTCTCCAGTAGTCCTCAGTGTCTGTTTCCATGTTTCTGTCCATGTGTACCCAATCAAAGCATTCATATATATATTGCTCTACTGTTGTTCATATTTAAGTAACATTATAATAAAACTACCATAATTTAAATGAACATTGAGAGCACAATTTTTCCTTTCAAATAGTCTAATAAAAAATACAAAATGACATACAAAAAGTCTGTAAATACTATGCCACGTAAAAGGTACCAGGACTCCTTGGGGGGAATAGCAAATTCCAAGTTTGAGATAAAATAAAAAACGAGATGAGATTGTGACATATTGTGTCAGAGAGCAGGGGTACCTTCAAAGTCTAATGTCAAAAGTACACAGGAGGCCGGGCGCAGTGGCTCACGCCTGTAATCCCAGCACTTTGGGAAGCTGAGGTGGGCGGATCACAAGGTCAGGAGATCGAGACCACCCTGGCTAATACGGTGAAACCCCGTCTCTACTAAAAATACAAAAAAAAAAAAAAAAAAAAAAATACACAGGAGCGTCAAACAATAATAGTAACTTTGATGAAAACACATTGACTATATAAAAATTCATGAGTTGATTAATGATACCGATAGACAGGGATCTCCCTGCTCCCAAAGAATGAAACCTCATTGAATACCATTTAAGGTAAATAGAACATCGATTCCTTATTCTGACAATTAGCTGTCAAAAGAAAAAAAATCAGTATTTTATTCTGCTTTTTCTGTACAAACTTTCAGAACAACCAGAAAGCCCTAGTTTGATAAGAGAAAGTTCTTTTTGCAAGAAATACAGTTAGTAAATGTTGAAAAAAAATCCAGAAATAAATGTAGAAAATCACTATTTTACAATCTCCAATGATGTAACAGATCCAGGCAAGGATCGTCAGTGGGTGAAACATGAGATGGAAAAGTTTATAAAAGAGTTCAGGCCGTCTTCACCTGAACCCTGTAAAAATTTTATCGTTGACAGCATTTGGTATTGTCATTATTCTTTATTTCAGCTGATCAGATAGTTGTATAGTGATATCTCATTGTATGACAGTTAATAATTTGTCTAATAACTAATAATTAACATCTGTTTGTGTCCTTATTTGCCATAACTTCTTTGATGAAGCATCTATTTAAGTTCTTTGCCCATCTTTTAATGCGGTTGTTTCCTTACTATTGAGTTTTCAGAGTTTAAAAAAAATACATTTTCTGGATAGTAGTCCTTTATCAGATAGTGATTTGAAAATGTTTTCTGTACATCATTACTGGGTCTTTTCATTCACTTTACAGTGCCTGGGGCAGAAAAAAAGTTTTCAAATTTGATGAAGTCGAATTTGTCATTTTATTTTCCTTGCATGCGTTGTGCTTTGGTGTCAGTTTTAAGGTTTCTTTCCCTAAAAGTTTAACGTTTTAGTTTTTACATTTACATATATTATTTATTTTGAGTTGGTCTTTATATAAAGTGTGAAATTTAGGTTAAGGTTCATTTTCAAAGGTTCTAGCAATATTTGCTCAAAAGACAACCCTTTCTCCACTGAATTGCCTGTGTATCTTTGTAAAAATATCAAACGGCCATATTCATGTAGGTGCATAGCTGTCCTATTTTTTAGTTTCCATTGATTTTTGTATCTGTCCCTTTATAAACACTACTCTGACTTTATTACTTCAACTTTATAGTAACTTTTAAAATTAAGTAGTGTGATTCCTCTAACTTTGTTTTTCTCTGTCAAAATGTAATGAACTATTCTAGTTCTTGTGTCTTTACCTGTAAATTTGAATATTAGCTTGTCTATATCTATACAAATTTCTGCTGAGATTTTGTTTGATATTGTGTTAATCTATAGATCTCTTTGAGGGAGAATTGACATTATTACTATAATGATTGTTCTATTCATAAACACAGTATGTCCATTTATTTAGGTCTTCTTGGATTTCTTTAATCAGTGTTTTGTCATTTTCAGTATATACATTCTAT